GAATCCTCATATATTGCTGGCATGATTTTAAATGGTGGAGAGAACAGTTTGGCAGTAGCTCAGATGTTAATTATAGAGTTTTCATATGATCCATCAATTCTACTCTCATGTATGTACACTAGAAAAATGAAAAATAAAAATGTCCACACAAAACTTGCATATCAATGTAAAAAGCAACATGATTTATGAGAGTCAAAAATGGAAACAGCTCAAATATCTATCAAGTGATGAATGGATAAACAAAATGAGGTACAGTCATACAGTGGAATATTATTTGGTATTTAAAAAGGAATGAAGTACTAATACATGATCTTTCCTGTCTGCCTCTGCCTCCACCCAGATAACAAGAATGACCCCTTCAGTGACTATGTGGGTCATGAAAACTGGAAGAATCTTTCAGTAGTTTCTGTCTGCCAACCAGGAAAATTTTTGATGATTAAGAGCCCCTCTGCCTCCTGAAACAGAAAGGGAACACCTTAAGGTGACGAAGCGCAAATGAATATTTAGATTAAATGTCCTGCCGCTTTGCGGTTGAGTTGAAGGTGAACAAATCCAACAGGCTGCATGGTGGCATCACTAGGATGTTGTTCTGACCTCCTCCTCTATCACTTTCTTGGCTGAAGTGGTCTGATCTGGGAGGAGAAACAGAGCAGACAGAGCCTAGACTTTTGTGAGACTAAGAGATTCCATTCTATAGTCTTTTTGTAGTTTCCTGGACCTCTCTTGAATCCCAAGTTTCCTTAGACTCCCTGTTAATCCTTGCAGTTCTCTTCTTGGCTGTAGTCTCCTATGACACATCTGTCCTCTTTGCAGACACAGCCAAAAGAAAGGCATATGTAGTCCCTTACCCTCAGGGCTGTTTTTGATGGGTATCATCTCCCAGCTGGGTGGTGCTTTCTTGTTTCCTTCCAGATCTGGTTTTCTCTTCCAGGAAACAGTCTTTTTGCTTGTTCCTGGGCGTGGTTTATTTCATGCTGAATTCTTAGTTGGCAAAATCTGAGGATACCACTCTCATTGACTTTACCGCAATTCATGCTCTCTGGAGTGCTGAGATGTGGCTACTCTGGCTTCCCTGGCCTTGGCAACTGGCTCTTCCTTGTTGACTGGGCTCTAGGTAAAATTCTGGACCTTCGCGCCACCCTGGTGACAAATTACTTTCCAGGAGCTCAGGAGATATGGAAATGTGGTGTTCATCCCCACTAGAGTTTATGGACAGATTCACTCTCACTGAGTGACTTATTGATGGCAAACAGAAAGAGACATTTTCTTGGGGAAGCTGAGTGGAAAAGAGGAGTCTATTAAAAGGATGCTCGGCTAGAGACCAGGCTTGTGACTCTACCCAGGAACAAAAAAATCATCCTTGCTGTCTGTCTTGCATCTCTTTTCTTTCTGATTCATTCTTTTTTTTTTTAATCTGGAGATTAATGTCTGGTTTTTGATCTTCACAAGGAGGTGGAAGATGATTTACTGGGGAAAAGGGACTCTCTCCGACCCAATTCTTAGGGTAGATTTTCTGAGTTGCTGAAGTTTGGTCAGTGCCCATCCTGTGTGTGGACTGGGCTGTCTGAAGACTACTCCCGCTCATGTAGGGCAATTTGAGGCAGTGGAAATTTGTGAACGGGGTCAACTCTCATTAAATTGTTTTTATTAGAGTGTGCCAGTGTTTAAAAGAGAACACAGGACTTCCAGTTTTCACTTCAGTACAAAAGGAGCTTTGAAGCTGTCACTGTATCCTAATAACAATTCAAAAAACTGACAAACTGAAAAATCAACAGTTCTTCTTAGAGCTATCAGAAAAGTGAGGACACAGGGTAAGCTGCTGTCCCCACAACTGGTGAGACAGACATGTGGATACAATGAAATCTGCTCTAAACAGCAGAAACTCTAGAGCAGAAACCTCCATGGGCACCAGTGCCAGCGTGGGAAAAGCTGAACTGTAACTGACAAATTGCCAGAGGTTGAGTGTGGAAAAGATGGAGTTAAAAATTCCAGGAAGACCCAGGTATAGAAGGGCTCTTACACTTCTATGAGGTATAACTACAGGCACTCTCCCAGATTCTCAAAGCAAAGATCAGAGAAAAATTCCCTTATGCTTCCCTCAGGGGGAGGAGAAAAGCAACTACTTTGAAACATGCCGGAGCATCCTTCTTATTACAAGGCCTGCCCTCAGGAGAAACTATTTTATCAGAGCCTAAATGCTGGGTTTTTATCAGAACCTAACCTACCCAGGGGGAGGGGAAATACCTAACTCCAGTTACCTGTAACCATCCTGTCCTACCTAAGGGATTGGGGGCAACTGAGAAGCTCCTATGAAGTTCACAGTCCACTTTAGGAAACTAGCAAAAGAAAAACAAATTAAATCCAAAGTAAGCAGAAGATAAGAAATAACAAAATTACAGTAGAAATCAATAAAATTGGAAACAAAATCAGTAGAGAAAATCGACAAAATTATAAGCTGGTTCTTTGAAAAGATCAATAAAATTGATAAGCCTCTGTAGCTAGGCTAAGAAAAAATAAACAAACTACTGGATTAACCAATGGGCCAAAGACCTTAACAGATACTTTACCAAAGAAGATATACAGATGTCAATTAAGCATATGAAAAGACGCTCCACAAGATGCCATCAGGGAAATGCAGATTAAAAAACAATGAGATATCACTACATACATTAGAATGGCCGAATTCCACAGCTCTGACAACATCAAATGCTAGTGAGGATGAGGAACAACAGGGACTCTCATTCATGACTGGTGACAATGCAAAATGGTACAGCCACTTTGGAAGACAGTTTGGCCATTCCTTTAAAAACTAAACATACCCTTACCAGCAGTTGTACTCTTTGACGTTCATCCAAAGGAGATGAAAACTTACGTCCACACAAAAACCTGCAGCTTCATTCATAATTGCCAACACTTGGAAGCAACCAAGATGTCCTTCAACAGGTGAATGGATAAATGAACCGTGGGACATTCGTACAGTGGGATATTATTTAGCACTAAAAATAAATGAGCTCTCAACCTATGAAAAGATATGCGGGAAACTTAAACGCATATTGCTAAGTGAAAGAAGCCAATTCAAAAGCCTTTATATATATGATTCCAAGTATGTGACATTCTGGAAAAGGATAAACTATGGAGATGGTGAAAAGATCAGTTAATGCTAGGGATTTGGGGGAGAGAGAGATGAACAGGTAGAGCACAGAGGATTTTCAGGGCAATGAAACTATTCTATCTGATATTATAATGGTAGATATGTGTCATTATACACCTATCAAAACCCATATTAAACACCAAGAGTGAATCTTAATATAAACTATGGACTTTGGGTGATGATGTGTCAATACCACTTCAACAGTAGTAACAAATGTACCATCCTGGTGGGGAATGTTGGTAGTTGGGGAGTCTGTGCATGTGTGGGGACAGAGGGTATATAGGAACTCTCTGTACTTTCTGCTTCACTTTACTGTGAACCTAAAACTGTTCCAAAAATAAAGTGTATTAATATGAGAAACCATAAATAAAGGAAAATGAAATGCACACACACACAGAGGGTGAACACACCACTTGTGTGATGTCCTCTTAGTTTCTTTAGCATGCCCTCAACAGAGATTACCTAGCATGCTTTCAGTCTGCCACTCACAGCCTTTACAACCTGGAGAATATGGTAGTAAGGTGCTAACAACTACATAGCCATATCACCCTCCCATCAATTATTTAGTCAACAGGTATTTGTTGAGCATCTAATATGTGCCAGCAGTGCCTGGAGGCTGTGGGGTAGAAAAGGAGTCAGCACTCTTTACAGTCCCTTGCCCACAAGGATGCGATCATCTCTAATATGGTTTGGATGTTCTTTGCAATTGCATATTGAAATGTGATTCCCAATGTAGTAGGTGGGGCCAGGTGGGAAGTGATGGCATCATGGGGGCAAATCCCTCATGAACGGTTTAATACCATCCTTCTGGTGATAAGTGAGTTATTGCTCAGTTAGTTCATGCACAATCTGGTTGTTTAAAAGAGTCTGAGGGGACCTGCCCCTTCTCTCTCTCTTGCTCCCGCTCTTGCCATGTGATGCGCCTGCTCCCTTTTCCCTTCTGCCACAAATGGAAGCTTCCTGAGGCCCTCATCAGAATCAGATGCTGGCATCCCTCTTCCTGTACATCCTGCAGAACTGTGAGCCAGTTAAACCTCTTCTCTTTATAAATGACCCAGCCATTAGGCATTGGTCTGTAGGAACACACACAGACTGACACAATCCACTTGGGAAAGAGAATGTCACCCTGCGCTAGGGGTGAATATGATGATACTACATGTTGCTACAGTTGACTGGGGACCAGGATAATAGTTGGTGAGCTGATTATTTGGCACAGGTGTTAAGAGTATGAAGATTCAGTGCAGGAGGAAAGACTCATTTGAGCTGGAAAACCCTGAGAAAATTGGCAAGAGCGGGAGCAGCTTCACGTGGGTTCCCACAGCTGGTCAGCTCTGCTGACACCATCTTGAAATTCTTACTAGTTTTGGAACAAAGATCCTCATATTTTTATTTTGCACTGGACTCCCCAGATTAAGACCCCTCCTCTCCAGGAAGGAAATGCTTGTATAGGTCATGTCCGATTTAGAAATCATAATTGCTACCAGTTACTGTGCATTTGCAAGTACCAGGAAGGATCTTAGGTGCTAAGACCTTATCTCCTCTAACCCACACAAAGGAGAGGAAAACCGAGTTTCAGACAGGTCACCTGAACTCACCCAGTTGGTGGGGCAGGCAAGATTCAAACCCAAGCTCTTTTCTTTTATTTCTGATTCATTCTTTCCAGATTTTTATGTCAGTTATTTACATTCATGGTTCATACTTTGAAATGATTTTTAATTAATTAATTAATTAACTTTTTGAGGTAGGATCTCACTCTGTGGCCCAGGCTAGAGTACAGTGGTGCAATCTCATGGCTTATTGCAGCCTCAACCTCCTCGGCTCAAGCAATCTTCCTGCCTCAGCTCCCCAAGTAGCTAGGACTATGGGTATGCACCATCACACCAAACTGATTTTTACTTTTTGTGTGGAGACTGTGGTCTCACAACGTTTCTCAGGCCGGTCTCGAACTCGTGGCCTCAAGCGATCCTCTCACCTCAGTTTCCCTAAGTGCTGGGATTACAGTTGTGAGTGATCATGCCCAGCCTTGAAATGATTGTAAGATGTTTGAGAGGAATAAACCAACTCACCCCTGTGAATGGTTTAGTTCAGCGGTTCCTAAACATTTTCAGTTCACGGCACCCTAATGTCTTAGTAATTTTATTCACAGGGCCCTGAGGCCACAAGAAATACCTCATAATTCTGTTTATGACCTTGTTGGGTCCAACTACCTTAATAAGTATTTATGTCCTAACAACTTAGTAGCTGGGTAAAAAATAATATGTACAAATTGAAAGAAAATAAATCATATTTTATTGTATTATTAAATAACCACAATACTTACTAATGGTATGTAGGTTCATCATTTGGGCACTAGCAATATATAAAACCTTGGAATCAGATAGGACATATCACTTTTTCCCCCACAGCTATCACAGCAGTCACCAAAAACCAAGCTTTGCAAAGATATGACATCATGGAAGGAAATTTAGCAACCTAATGTTAAAACCGATTTACCTGGAGCTAGCAGTTCCTGAGGTGTTTGACAGGCATCATTGTGTTTTCCTCAAGTACTTAAAAATATCCAGGCACTTCTGCGAGTCCCTTGAGGTGCCTGCCCCTCTGTCTGTTTATGCAGAGCAGTGTCCCCTTGCTGGTGGACAGGTTCAGTCAGTGCTTTTTCCTCTGCATGATGATATTAGATATGCAGAAAATCATGGATAGGAAGAGCCAAGGAAAAAAGGGGGAATAAAAATAGAATGAACAAAAAAAGGAGCTCAAGAAATGTATTTTTAATGCAGTACCCCAAAAATAAGCTCATATTTTACTATGTATTTGACAGCAGAATACAATTACAACTGACATCAATTATGTTCTCTATTAGACTTTTCTCTACCTTATACATTTAAATGTAATCCCAAATGGGGAAAGAACCACTGTTTTTTAATATAGGTGCTTTCTCAATTTGAAAACTAGAATGGAAGTCATGTTCAGATGTGTAAAGAATTCTAAGAATGAGGTGGGGGTTAAATGATTGTTAGCAACCAAGAGGTTCCATTATTTTTTCCTTCAAGCATGTTGGTATGTGGAAAACGGAAAGCATATTAAACCACTCACTTAAGTTAGTTAAACCCAACATACTAGAGCAATTATTAATCCTCTTTCATCTTTCTAATAACAAGACACAAAGCAATTGTTAGTTATAATTTGTAATCAGTAGCATGTCGTTAGCGGGCTGTTAATTGATTGTATTTACCAGTGCTTGCGTAGATGGGTTCTGTTGTTGTTGTTTGAGTTTCATGTTAATTCAATAGGGGTGGTAACTTGGTTTTTGGTGAGGACAGAAAGATTTTACATCTCATTTCACTGATTCTGTTTTCTTCTCAACATTGGACTTCTATGTGCTTATTTAAAAAACTATGTGGCTACTGCCATCTGTTGGATGGAATGTGAGTCCTGCTCAGACACGTGGCCCTTTAAACGCCCAGTGTCTGTCCCTTCTAACTTCACCACATGTCTCCTCAAGGTAAGGTTCTGCCTTTGATCTACCTGCATGCATCCCAGCTTCCAGCCCCAGAACTGAGTTCATTTTGGGAACGTTTTCTGTGGTGCTGGGGCACTTTCTCTTCAGACATGTAAATACTTTTTACTGAAGAGTGTGAGGTTGTTTAGCTTTCCAATAAGACTCACAGCGTAAGGAGGCATGTCGAGGTGGGGACGGATGTGGCTGGGAGCATGTTTAGGAACAAGTATATTTTTAGCATAGGGTATCGAATCTACATTGGACTAATAGGCAGAGGAATCAAAGTTCAGCTGTAAATTGTGGTGCATATTGAGGCCAGTGATTTTATGTCTCTGAGCTGGCATTTCCTCAGCTGTAAGACAAGAGGACAGGACTAGGACTGAGAAAATCTTATGAGCTCAAGACCCACGCAGCTCCGTCTCTCTAAGGAGTCATATTCAAAGAACAGCAGACCTAACAGCAAATAGGAATTTAAGAAGAAACGCCAGTCTGATTTAACTGAAAAGCACAGAGAAGAACCAATCTACAGATCACGGGAAACCCATTTGACCTGACTCCCTTTTCCTCCACTGCTTGGTTCTTATTTTTCTACTTTTCTTGGGCTGTGATTGTCAGCATCCTCCCTCCTCACCCCTCCTACTCTTTCTCTGCGGAGGGACTGTTTTCTCTCTCCACTCCTGTTCAGCTTTTTTCTTAGTCCTCCCCTCCTCCTGTAGCCCTCAGTCTCAGCTTTCTCTGCCCTTTGGCTGATTCTGCATCACAAAATTCCAAGAACCAGTCTTGGAGAAACTACCTGTTCTCTGAGATAGGAAACAGGTGAAGAAGCTGAACCAGGCAGAACACACTTCGTATTGGTCCAGGAGAAACACACACACACACACACACACACACACCCAAGCCCTTCTGACAGCAAGAGCCTTCAATGCTGTGACTGATACAACTACAATGCCTATAGCTGAATTCACTGGTTAGCAGGTGCACGATGGAATTTTGTCCCTTGAATTGGGGATGTTTAAAGATCCAGGCTATTTCACTCCTTCCTCTTGCCTTGCTAAAGAATGACCGGGGTCATTATTGAACTCAGTTCTCATTTGCTTTCTTAAAATTTGATGTCCACAAAACCTGGAGTTTATTTACTTTTCCCTTTCCTCCTTTCTTCATGTAGTCCATCATGCCATTTGTTAATACCAGATTAGAGAAAGGGAGCATGTCAAGGAATTCCTTTATGATTTCTTCTCTGAGGATGAAGTCTTGGTTGAGTCTTCAGTGGACATGGTCAGGATGGATCCTAGGAGTGGGGCTGGGGCTCTGCGGTGTGTGTGTTCTCCAGGGCAGTTATCCTGCTGGGGCTGGGCCAGCCCTCCTGCCCCAGCAGCCCCCATCTCTCTCTGCCCCACCCTGTCTCCTAGGTGAGGTGTGCCGGGATTGCTGTGTGGGGAGGGAGTACGGCCAGCCTGCCTGGGCTCAAACCTTCAAGGAAATGAAAAATAACTTCTCCTTACAAGAGGTTAGGGGAGCCTCCCCAGGCTCGTCTGCTGCTAGTTCTGTCAGTGGAGAGGCAGTTGAGAAGGCCCCAGGAGGCTGGGAGGAAAGGAAGTGTGCCCAGGCCCACCTAGCGGGAGGTCTACAGGAGAAAGGCCCTCTTTGTCATTGCTGCCGGGTAACAGCGAGTTTTGCAGTTGGTGATAATGATTCATTTCCTCAGTTGAGGTTTGGGAGGATTATAGCTGGAATTTGAAAAGTCGTTTCTATATCTGGCAACGAAGGAACTCTGAGTGATCACCATGTACTGTTTGGTGTTTTGCCATCATTGGTAATATCACTGTGGCAGGCAGCTCGGGCTGCTGTAACAGAACACTGTAGACTGGGGGGCTCACAAACAGCAGACATCCACTTCCCACAGTTCTGGAGGCTGGAAGGCCACGACGGGGGGCCAGCTGGCTTGGGTTCCGGTGAGGACCCTCTTCCGGTTGCAGGTGGTTGCCTTCTCATTGCATCCTCACGAGGCGGAAAGATGGCCAGAGAGCTCTCTGAGTCTCTGTCACAAGGGCACTCATCCCATTCATGAGATCTGCACCCTGGTGACTTAATCACCTCCCCAAAGGCCCACCTTCTAAAACCATCACGTGGTGGATTAGGATTTGAACATATGAATTTTGTGGGAATGCAAACATTCAGTCAATAGCCACCACCAGCAACACTGAAATGTAAATTGGAGGTGTCATATGAAAAAAGAAATGATCTAAATGAAGTTCCATGCTGTCATAATGGAGTTCTGCAGCCACCAATGTATGTCCTCTGGTTGAGTGTACAGGCGGTGTATGTATATGTGTAAGTGTATTTATATCTTGTGATTGTTCTGAGCATTCATGATTTAAAGTACCTAATCAGCAATGAGCAGTGTTCATATTCCCGGCTGAGTAGAGCTAGCGTGTGTCTCTAAACACTGGCTGGTTGTGGAGGCAGAATGTTATCAGGATGCCCTGATAGATCAACAATGTCCTCTCCTGCTTTGCTTCAGGAAGGGGTGAACATTTGTTTACGGGTCTGACAGAATAAAAAGTGAACCTGCTGAGAATGGAGTCCATGCACTCCAAGTCACTTCGCCTTCGCTGGTGCTGAAGGATCCCCGTGGCTCATCGTCCACAGGCCAGAGAGGTTATTGCTAGCGCAAATGCTGACCCAGTTCCTTCCACTGCGATGGACAGCTCCAGTTCCTGACTCAGCTCAGAGGAGCACAGCTCTTTTGTTTCTAGTATCTTCTAGTATAGAGGAGCTGTTGTTGAGGACAGGTCCGTGGAGGTGATTGCCTCCCTTAGCTCCTGCACAGTAAGTGGATGCTGAGGCAGTCTTGAACACCAGAGCATAAGGCACTGGGATGTGTCCCCAGGGCTGTGCTGCCCTTGAGTGGCTTCCTGGTCTGTAAAGTTGCATGGTGGGTAGGAAGAGACGGAGGTCTGGCGCCTGGCAGCACGCCATGACTGGGTGGACCTGACTCTCCTGGCACCTTGGGGGTGCAGAGCCACCACTTCATTCTCACAGAGCTACACTATTATGGGGTATCTTTGAAGGACATAGGAGACAATCTGAAGCATTCAGGAACCCCAATGCCTTGAAAACACTATCAGGGGATGAATTATAATGTAACATACTAATAATATTAAAAAGGCAAAGTGAGGTAAGGTTTTAAGAGATTCACTATGAACTTTGACTTCAAGTCTATGGAATCCTGTTTTAGCTCATACCTCATTGTAGATTTTTTAAAAACTGCAGTTCATTATGGTTTTTTTTCTATTAAAATTGCCTATAAGTTGACTGTGAGTTTATCAGAAGTCCGTCTTTTCCCGTTTTAACAAGGTCTAGTGACAACTGGTAAGAACTTAGAAGTACAGTCAGCACCGGCTACTTTCAACTAACTACAGGTGGGATAACTCTGCATTGCTGTTGATTGATACAGAAGCTGAGACATGAGTGATATTCACTGCATAACTGGCAATGCTGGCACTAATAGGACCCTTCCCACAGGTCATGCCCTCTGTTGAGTGCACTGTGTAGATGATCACATTTATTCCCCAGTGCAACTCATGGGACAGGGATTATCATCCTTATATTTAGGGAGGAAATTGAGACTCAAGAGAGGCTCAGGTAGCAGAACCAGGCTTGGGTCCAGAGACTCTGACCCCAAAGCCGTGACTTATGGTGGGAAGCTCTGCTTCTTCCCAGAGGTTCTAGTGAGCAGCCTGGGGTGTGATTTCCGCCTATGGCGACTGAGAGCTCCTACTTTACGGCGTCAAATCAGGGAGGGACTCCAGCGTGATCTGACAGCCGCAGCTGTAGACATTATCCCTGCCCTTGTGAAACATAAAGACTTGTTAGTCTAACGGTAGAGATACGACATCAGTGTAACATAACAGATACTTACTCATCAGTTACTGTTACTCCAAACACAACATTGCTTTATTATACGCTATGTGGTCACTTTTTCTGTATGTCTATAAATCAAATACATTTTCCTGCATCCTGAGAGGTAGCAGCCTAGATAAATACTTTATTTATTTATAATCTGTCCACCTATTCATCCGTCCAACACGTATTTGGTGATTTTGATTAAATTCCAGGTGCCTTTGCTAAGGATGGAAGGACATACAAAGATGTGAAAATCCAGGCACAGGCTCTTCCTGCAAGGTGGCTCAGTCTAGCAGGGGGAGACCCTCTGTGTAAAGAACTCTGACGTAAGTGCGGTGGAAGCGTAAGGGTTTAGCAGAGAATGTGCTCTCACTGCGGGGCGGTCACAGAAGTATTGATGACTGAGCAGCACTTGGAAAGGGCAGATGGACTGGTAGAAGGGACACTGCAGATGAGCAAAGGGACACTCCTGGGGAGTCTCGAGTGTGGGGGGGACTTAGGGATGTTCATAGAGGGGAAGAGCTGGGCAAGGCTGAAGAATAGGGCAGGGCAGGGCACGGAGGGCTCGGTCCCTGGCTTGGCAGCTGGGACTGAGTTCAGTAGGCAGTGGGGTCACTGAAGCTTTGAGAGCTGGGGAAAGCTATGACATGGGTTTGGTGGGAAACGCATGTTACTTAAAGTCAGGCAGATCCTGGCTGGAGTCCTGGCTCCAGCTTTTCAGCTGTGTCTGCTTGATCTGTTGCTCTCAGCCTGAGTTCCCATGTCAGTCACCTGAAGGAAACGGGCCTGCTTTGCGGTCTCATTTAGAGGTCTTGTTCAATCATGTGTGTAGAGTGTGCCCATGGGGCCTGGCCAGGGAGTCCTCCGAACCACCTGAGGCTGAACCAGGGGTGGCCGTAGAAGTGGTATGAAAAGAGGGATAGCTCTCAGAGACAAGGAAGAATGACTAGAACTCGGAACCTGACAGGAGGTGTCCTTGTCCGGTGAGGGGGCTGCAGAGTGAGATGTGACCATTCTGGGCTGCCTTCCCCGCAGTTCCCGGCCCAGGCATGTAGTCGCTGTGGGGTCCTGAGCCTGGAACAGCCCTTCTTTGGAGTCAGGCTTTTCTTTGGGCTACTCCTTTCAAGCGACAGCAGAACCTAGTATTCTCTGTTTTCATACAAGGTTCTGACATCTGATGCCAGATTTACAACCTGAGGTGGCCAAAGATTTTTGGCTTTTCCTGGGGCTTAAATCAATGGTGTTGCTTGGCTTTCTCCCGTGCAGCCAGGTTGGCCAACAAAACCACCCGTTGTTCTGCTTTGAATGGAAGGCATGCTGCTGCGTGGCTCTTGATATTTACCTTATCCCGGAGCTGAGCTTCGTCTCTGTGGCGTGCAGGTGGAGCGAGGCCGGGAAAGACAGTCCCCTGGCACGCTGTCCACGTTTGGACGGCAGCCCCAGCTTCAGCTTCGAACACTTTTATCCCTGATGGCATTGTTTACAAACATGCTGGAAAAACAGAATTAGGGAACAAAATTATCTCCTGATTGCTGAACTGTGATGAGATTGACGCTTTTAAGCACTTCCCCTAGGGAAGCCAGGCAGGAATCTTCCAAGGGGAAAATGTATCATAAGGGAAGACTATTAAAAGTTAAAACTGGGCTAATGAAACCGATACAGGGAGAATCTTTTTAATTATCGATGCACTGTCCTAATTAAATTGCATGATTTCCCAGAATAACATATCTATCATCATCGAGTATGCGGACATGACCCGATTCTGGGGTCTCACAAGGGGCCTTTGGGTGTCTCTGAGAGGACCGTGATGAAAGACTCAATGAAATTCGTGCTTCTGAACCCTGAATCCACTTCAAGGTGCCGTGTCAGTGCTGTGCGTGTTCACCAGCAGATGTCACTGTTTACATATAAAATGCAAACAGCCCCCAAAGTTGTTTTTTTCCCCCCACCTTTATTCTAAAGCAAGACAAGCTTGTCCATGTTTTTTCATAAAGCCTTATTTATCATGTGATCAGTTTTGTTCTGGGAAATAATGATATTGTTTATCTCTTTAAATAGCTGTACATGTAAAGGGAACTGGTTTATGAGAGACACTCATTTCACATACTAAGCTATCCAATCACATCTCACTTAAAAGATAATTGTTGAATATTTACAATTTGCCCGAAACCAGCTTCCCATGACGAAAGGTGTCCAAAAACAGCTAAAGAGCTGTGCTTCTTTAGGGGTCTTAAAACCTCTTTTGAGAGATGACAAATAATAAAGCAGCTTAGAATGTTGGAAGTTAAGTTCTAAAACTAAAAATGAGTGTCATATTGTTTCAGGGAGATAAAGGTCTGTGGGGGCTGGAGCAGATGGAAGGCTTTAGAGAAGGAAGCCCCGAGATAACGAGGGTGAATTCATCTGGTTGGGAGGGGAAAGGTACTGTGGGTTTTTGGGGTTTTTTTGTTTTGCTTTTCGTGTTTTGGGGTTCTTTTGCTGAGAGAATAAAGGGCAATTATGTTTGGAGGATCTATTTGATGGACTCATGAAAAGCAAAATGGAGGGGGCTGATGTTATTACAAAATCCAGCTATGAGAACAGGAACTCCTGCACTGGTAACTAGAAATAAATTCAGATTGGGAGGCATAAGGAAGGAAGACAAGACCGCCATGCCAGCTTATTGACAGGTATAGTCACTACGTCTTTTTGTCTTCTCAGTCCAAAATCAAGATACAAGCATTGACACACGGTCAGACACTAAAACAGAAGGTTTGAAAGCAGGGCTGTTTGCAGAAACTCCAGGACACATGGATGCTGCGTATATGCAGAGGAGACAGTGACTTGAATCTCATGAACGTGTGGGGTAACAATGGTGCTGCCACTGAGGGAAATGGAAAACCTGGGCAGGAAGGTTGGCTTGCACAGAAAGATGTTTCTAGTCTGATCCATGTTGTTGAAACTGATGTGGGCCACGGCATGATTGGCAAGGCAGGAAGCTATTCAGGAGCCACTGACCTAGAAGTGGAAACGACGATAGGGAGGGGAGAGAGAAGGGCCAGGGTGTAGCCGTCACGGTTTGTGTCTTAAGAAGCCAGCTCATTTTATTAAATTGCATACATCAGTCAGTAACATCCAGGAAAGAAGAGAACTGGAAACCTCTCCCTGGTGTGGTGTACTCTTAAGCATGCAAGTTTCCGCTGACTTTGCACCCTCTCTGCCTTCACAACGTGGGAATTCGTGACCGGACCCTTCAGCCTGCATGCCTCCACCTATCCTAGGGTTTCATCATCGTTACTCGGGACTCTCAAACATCTGTCCATCAATCAATCAGCTGCCCATCATACTTGCTCACCCCTTCCAGTCTCTGGGAAAGCAACTTGTTATCCAACGTGGAAGGTCTTGTTCTTGATAGGTTCACTTTTCGAATTCTATGAGGGAGGGAGGGAAATGTGGCTGGAAGTTCAAAGCAGCCACAGCCATTTCCAAAACACATTCTCCTTCATGTTCCACTGACTCACTGTCGGATCTTGACAAACTCCTAACTAGAGCTGTGCCTTAGTTTGCTCAACTATAGAATGGAAAAAAATGACCCATTCTATATTCAGATTGTGTGTCTGTCTGATGCATGTCAAGCCCAGTGGGGGCACACCCTTAGTAATGAGACATGTTAGCACCAATTACGTGCTTTTCACATTGGGCAGGTGTCAGGAGAGGCCTGGGGTCATAGGACCAGACTGCAAACAACACAATCCCAGAATAAATCCTACTAATTTGGCATAATTGATGAAAATGAAGATCAGATATTTGACCAGAGATGAGAAATTCATGGGCATGAATGCTGCAGCTCTGATTACTTTGCATATGAATGTGTGGTAAGAGGCAACATTTCTTTTGTTTAAAACCCTGTGCACTTAATTCACATTCAGAGAAAGGTTGTGGAATCATTCAGGCTCATTGCAAACAAGGAACCAGGATGCCAACAAGGCCAATGTTGTTGTGAGAATGTTGAGCTATTAATCATAAAATAGCAAAACAGGGTGATTTTATTTATAGCAAACTGTCGCTACGCAGATAATAAAGACCCCTTTCAGAGCTTGCATTTATATATATATATTTCTTTCTTTTTTTTTTCCACCACAGAAAAGTGCAGGCTTGTGCAATGATTTTTCAGATGAAATGAAAGCAGGATGAGGATGTCAGCCCTGAGTACTTGTGACTTTTAGACCAAAGTCCTTGGCATCAGCCAGCATTGCAGGATGGAACAGGTGAGGTTCAGCAACCCTGTGAAGGGAGGCTAGGGTACTACTGGCACCCTTTAAAAGCAGACTGAGTGCATAGACTCTCACTAGACTGGAAGTGAGTGAGCAGCCCCGGGAAAGCCCAGATGAGCTATTGTGCCTTCCTCAGCTTCCCCACCTTCTGTTGTGCTAGGAAGGGCTGGGGAGCCTGTCTGTGGCAGTCAGACATCCCTTCCCTGGCCCCTCTAGAGATGGATCTACCTCCTTTTAGGAAGTGTGTGGGAGGGGGCCAATTTGCAAAGGTTCGCTTGTGCTCAGTCCCTGCTAGGATGATCAAGCTCTTTTCAAAGCTCAGGGGTTGGGTTTTTGCAGTTTCTGCATAGAACAGGCACTTAAATATCTGTGGAATTCATGAACGACTTCATGCATGCATTTGGTCCTGTATTCTGGTCCAAATAGAAGATACGGTAGGTAGACAAATACCACCTCCTACGGCAGGTAGACAAACACCACCTCCTACGGCAGGTAGACAAATACCACCTCCTACGGCAGGTAGACAAATACCACCTCCTACGGCAGGTAGACAAATACCACCTCCTACGGCAGGTAGACAAATACCACCTCCTACGGTAGGTAGACAAATACCACCTCCCCCCACAAAGACGTTTCTGTCCCAATCCCTGGAACCTGTGCATACTACTTGATTTGGAAAAAGAGTCTTCACAGATGTGATTAAGTCAAGGGTCTTGAGATGGGGAGATCATGCTGCATTATCTGGTAGACCCTAAAGACAATCGCATGTATCCCTACAAGAAAGAAACAGATATTTAACTACCTACAGAAGAGGAGAAGGTGATGTAAAGGTAGAGGCAGAGTGCTACAGACTGAATGTTTGTGCCCCCCTGCCCCCCCCCCCCAACACACACAAGTTCATATGTTGAAACCTAACCCTAATGTGATGGTTTTAGGAGGTGGGGCTTTTGGGAAGTGGGAAGTGATTAGGTTATGAGGGCAGGGTCCTCATGAATGGGACGAGTGCCTTTTTCAAGAGGCCCCAGAGAGCTCCCTTGCCCCTTCCACCGTGTGAGGATGACCATCTACGAACCAGGAAACAGGCCCTCAGCAGAGACTGAATCTACTGGCGTTTTTGATCTAAGATTTCCCAGCCTCCAGAACTGTGAGAAATAAATTTCTGCTGTTTATTAGCTACTCAGTCTATAGTATTTTCTTACAGCAGCCCAAACGCACTAAGACACAGAGATTTGCGAAGGTTCAGCCTTTGCAAATCGTGGTGCAGCCAAGAGCCACAATTGCCAAAGCTGCCAGCCACTGGAAGAGCCAAGGCCTGGATTCTCCCCTCTGGAGGGAGTATGGCCTGTGGACACCTTGGTTTCAGCCCAGCGAAGTTGATTGTGTACTTCTGGCCTCCAGAACTTTGAAGAATAGATTTTGGTGTTGTAAGGCACCGATGTGTGGTAGTTTGTTGAGCAACCACAGGAAACAAATACAGAAAACAACCATCTCCTCCTGAACCAAAGTCCAAATAACCAAATTCCACTTTGAACTAACCAAATTCAAATTTCAGAATAAGGAGCAGGAGATGTTTTTGTCCCACACAGGTATTACCGGGGCGATGTTATGAAGGTGGTGGGAATTTTTTAAAATAGTTTTTAAAATTATGAAAGTACGAGACCATCCTGGCTAACACGGTGAAACCCCGTCTTACTAAAAAATACAAAAAACTAGCCGGGCGAGGTGGCGGTGCCTGTGGTCCCAGCTACTCGGGAGGCTGAGCCAGGAGAATGGTGTGAACCCGGGAGGTGGAGCTTGCAGTGAGCCGAGATCGCACCACTGCACTCCAGCCTGGGCGACAAAGTGAGACTCCATCTCAAAAAACAAAAAAAAAATTATGAAAGTAAAACACAGTCATAGCAGAACAAAGAAGCCAAAGAGTATATGGCAAAGTCTAAAATTCAGTGCACCCTCCACTCCTGAGTCCCAAAGGTCAGTCCTCTGTTTCTGTGTACTCTTCTTTCAACTATGATGAATACAAATATACTTACTGCTCCTTATTTTTATACAAACTGAATCATTTATTCATACCACACAGTTCATGTTTTGTTCACTTAAAAGTATATTTTGGGAGATCTTTCTGTATTTGTATATAGGTAATTCCTCATTATTTTTCAACAATTGTATGGATATATCATAATTTAATCAGTCTAAACTGATTACTTATTAAGGAAAATGAGATATGCTTTTCCTTTGACAAGGACACTATGCCTTTAAACTGCACTTATAAGATGATAAAATACTTTTATTTCCCTAAGTCACGGCAAACTACTGTCATTGCTCTTAAAAGGCAGTGTGATTCATGAAGAGGTTTGGGTTCTGCCCAGGAACCCTAAGATTGTGGGAGAAGTCTGGGATCTTCTGAGTGGTAATATTCATCTGTGTCAAATGCAAACCATTGCGCACAGCCCAGGACAAGAGAAGGCTCTGAAACACGCTGGCTGAACGAAGAAATCAAACAACACACTGCCATTGTGTTTATCTGGGCCCTTACTCGAGGTCTCAGTGCTAGTAAGTGGCTGATCCAGGACATTGACCCTGGCCAGCTGACACCCAAGACCGCCCACACTCTTAGCTAATCAAGGCAAATACTTTGGCTATCCATGGCTGCATTGCAAGCCACTCCCAAACTCAGCAGCTTAATACAACAGCAATCATTTATTTGCTCATGATTCTGCCATTTGGGCAGTGCTTGGTGAAAACCACTCATCTTCATTCCAAGTAGTATCTGCCTGCACTGGAATGTCCAAGAAGGATCATTTTACTCATGAACCTGGTGCTTCTGCTGGGTGGCTGGTACGCAGGGTCTGATCCGGCATTTCAGTCTCCATGTGGCCTCCCCGTGAGACCAACATGGGCTTTCTTACAGTATGGTGGTCTTAGGTATTGGCCTTCTTACATAGCAGCTGACTTCTCCAGGAGCATACAAGCAGAAGCTGCATTCTTTCTTACTTTCCAAACCTGGAAATTTAAGGACATCACTTCTGCTGCCTTGATCGGTGAAAGCAATCACAAGGTCAGGTCCGATTCAAGGGGAGAGGAAACAAACACCTCTGCCTCTTGTGGAGGGAGGGTCAAGGCCCTTGCGAAAGAGCCTGGGGGATGGGAGATATCATTGTGGAAATCTTTGGAAACACACTCCACAACCGACAATTAAACATGCACATTAGAAAGCGATTGTAGGAGAAGAAAGAAGAGTCGCCAAGGGGATGGAGTTTGTAAGACTGACAGATTACTTCCAGCTTGCAGGATGAAAGCCAGAGATCACAGAGGACCTGCTTGAATTGGCATTGGTGGGTAGGTAGAAGCAGACATTTGCATGTGAGAAGAAAGTAGCTTCAGGAGCACAGTGTAAGCAAAGGCCCAAGGTGGGAGGGTGGGGTGTGTGTGTGTGTGTGTGTGTGTGTGTATTTTCACCAAAAGATCTAGCAAGAAGAGGGTTGAAGAGCTGTGGGGTGATCTATTTCTAAGTGAAAGATCGTACGTAGTGCAGAGGTGGCTGGTGCTACTGGCTTTCTTTGTTCCTAGGGTACTGCAAATAGGGTGGAGATGAAGACAAGTTCTCACCCTCTGGCTACACTGGCACGTGGGAACAGCCTTCTCTTGGAGGACTGTTGCCAGACAGAGGTATGTGGGCACCTACGCATTGCCATGGACCTCAAGATGACAGTGGAGTGGGCCATTCTCACTGCTCCCACCCTGGAGCTGAGCCCCCTCCTGAGCCCTTGTTGCCGTGCCTGTGAGGCGGGCACAGCTGCGAATGGCAGCCGCGAGGTAATTGTGGGAAGAGTATGCTAATCAGCAGATGCCTGCGATTAACTTGCCTTTCCTGTTGCCTGTCAAACCCAAGCTGCCTTTGTTGGAAAAGATAATTAAATTGGAATCAGATGTCTGCAGTACATATTTTATTCAGAGCCTTAGATGACAATAGAGGAAGTTGACTTGCAGTCCATCTTCAGATTCCCACCTTATTAATGCTAGCATGTTGTCAAAATGCATCTTTGTTCCTGTAAGAGTGGATGAAACCTGTCTTGGAAAGTGTGGAATCCAGATCGACTGGGTACTCTAGCCAGTGTCCTCCCTGTGCGCTCCCCTCATGCATGCCATTTGTCTCCTGTGTGATCCGAGGGGACCAAGGGTTCTGCTCCCCTCCCTCACTGAGGCTGTCCCCACGTGCCATCATGGTGCTCGAGCTCAGGGCCTGCACATGCTTTTCTGCCTCTTGTGGACGGCTCTGCCCTGCTCTGGCAGGTGACAGTCATGATAGTGACTTTGGCTCAGTAAATGCCTACGAAGCTCATTAGATTTCTTTTCTTCATGTGATGCATTAGCTCTGATACATCTTATAGGATGGGAAAGTGAAGAGTGCTTAGGGGGTGAGTGGTTCTTTCTTTTGAGTACAAATGGTAGTTTTCCTTAAGGACTTTATATGAGGAAAAGATTTATAAGGAGAAACCAGTATGCCCTGTCCCACCTTCTTCCTCATACTCCAAGCTTGCCGTCATCCTCACAGTATCGTTGCTCTCCCTCCATGCCTGGGACCCTGGAAGGATGAGTAACTGGCCTAGCCTCTTGTTTGTTAGCAATGGAGAAAGGAAGCCAGAGAGTGAAACACGTGTGGGAGACCCGACCTAGGAGACACAGGACCAGGACATGGCTCCTTGTAATTAGGTATATCAAACTGAAAATCTTCTGCACAGCAAGGGAGACAACAGAGTGTAAAGGCAACCTGCAGCATAGAAGAAAATATTTGCAAACCATATACCTGACAAGCAGTTAATTTCCAAAATATCTAAGCAACTCCTAAGACTCAATAGCAAGAAAACAAATCATCTGGTTAAAACATGGGCATAGGACTTAACTAGACATTTCTTAGTTTTGCCTCTCTCCACAGAGAAAGACTTTCTAAAAAACAAAAAACTCAAAAAACAATAACAAAAAATCCCTCAGGGGAGGTGAATCTGCTGAAAAAGCAGGGAGACCTGGCCAGAAGCTGCCTTGGGGTGACATAAGGGAGCTGTGATGTCCGGCTGGCCAGGGACAGCACATGTGTGCACTGTGACATGGGGAAACTTCAGGAGCAGAGCCTGGGAGATGGCGCTCAGCACGGGGAGGGAGTTGTGCCTGAGGATGGCCTGGATAGGGCAGTTTGCCTGTGAGTGGGGAGGGTGATGGAAGTCACTGGTTTGCTACAGGTTACACGTTCTGCCTGTGAGGTCATGCAGGAGGGTGGAGAGCCATCCACGACATGCCAGTCAATGGGAAAATATACTGTCTCAGTAGTACTTTTGAATTGTTTGAATACTTGCTTAAGGTGAGCAAGGACCTTAACCTTAACCAAACTTTGGCGAGGCTCCTCTGAGCACGCTGCACCCCCACTTTTATTTATTTATTTTTTTGAATGAACCTTATCCTTGGTCCTATCTTTGATCTGCCTAGCCCAGTGCTGACCAGAAATCCTGTTGTCAGTTTAACGAGAATCCCTGTACCCTTGATGCCTAACTAAGTTTCTGGTATGAATTTTCCATCTGCTCCTTCCCTCTGCTCATTGTCCCCACCTGTCCCTGCTGTACGCAGAGTCGATGAGTTCAAGCTCTCTCCCATTGACAATAGACTTAAATGAAGTCTTCCTCGCTATTTTAACGAGTGTCAGAATAACTTCTCTTTTACATGGCCTAGCGCCTAACACTCTAGAAGCCCCATTGATGTAATTCCATGCTCCCTTCAACCGCATTTATCCGTTTCCCCTCTGCCCCCTACCCTTGCTCACCTCCAGGTGCAGTTGGAAGCCATGCTCCATTAAGTGGAGAAAGATTTGACCAGAGCCTGAGTAGGGAAGATCTCTGTGTGCCTTTTTTTTTTCCATCTTAGAGGCATCCGATTGTAACACAAGCTGGAAGGTTTTCATGGGGTGATCTCTTCTTCCTTGAACATGGTTGACTCTTCAATATCAAGAGTTCTGTGAGATCTCTTGAAATAATTAAAATAGAGTAGATGGTTAGGTGATGTTGTTGCCTGCCAACCTTCTGAATGAGGACCTGGCGTTCAGAAACTAGCTCAGATGTGTCACTCTTGATATTTTTTCACTGAAATTCACCAACACTGTCTGAGTCCACCCTTCACATTTAATGTATTAAGACCCTATACATTGTAAGACATAGTGAGTTATTGGATTAGAAATTGGGAACACATCACTTTGACTTATAAGGACTCATGTCATACCCCAAATGGATGAGTTGACTCTCAGGGATTGTAATTAATGGGCTTCACCCATGGTACCTAATGGACAAAGGGTCATTCAGCACAGACAAGAACTTTGTCCCAAGTATGTGTTTTATAAGGTAGTGGCTGAACTTCAAGTCAGAGGTAGGAATATCATGCATAAAAGAAAAATATTCTCTAATTTTCTATTCTGAAATTGATTTCCAGCATGAGAATGGCATGCAGTGCATACAGCATTCCCCTGCCACTGAACGCTCACGCCCAGCTGCGTTTAGGTTTTGAGGGAGGCCTACTCTGAGGTTCAGGATGTGTAACAGCCCTATGTTGGAGTTACTGTTACTGTTAAAAAGTGAATCCAGCCCTAGCTTCCTGGGGACAGTTTGAGTTTATACCTTTGTCCCAGCATTCTTATTGAT